TATCTGATTGAGTCTTTATAATCAGAATATTTTTCATGAATAAAAATATCAACAGAAAATATTACTTAATTATTAAAATTTTCATCTAATTTCTGGCTTCGAATCGATAATTTTGGAGTGATTCAATTTTGATCCACTTGAATGAATTACTGAAACGATTCTTTCATCCCATAAATCCTTTGTAAAGTAAATAAATTTATTCATCATAATAAACCATTTCTTTCCTATGTGGCCTGAACTTAATAGTAGATCACACTATAATGCAGGTGCTGATCTGTAAACAGTGACCATACTAATTATTCAGTGAGTGGCAGGCTATGTTACGCTGTTTACTCTTTGTTGACAATCGCTGAGATTTAATCACACTTAAAAGCTTAACAACTACTCTGTGATCTCAATTAATTTAAACATCGCCGTTTTTCTGTGTATTATTCACCAGTTTGAGTAGTTTAGTGGTAACATTGTTTTGATATGCTAAAATTGGATTCAGTTCCTTGAAGATTTTATGGATTATGATACATTATGCGTGTATTTATCCTGAGGCTACACGCGGATTCATTAATAATTCCGGTAACCGTGATTCACTGCTTGACGAGACTTGCCAAACTGCACATCGACAGTTTTTCTCAAAACTGAGTTACGAAAAAAACAATACAAATATGAACAGTATTTTGTGTCGTGTTTCGGATACCAATATTGTTCACTGGTGTTGATAAGCACACAAGGATCTATGAACTGAATGACATGCATTTGAATTCTCAAAGACCACAGTGTTCTTTTTCTCAACTGTGAAACCTGATCGGTGTAGCGATCGATAAGGTTCTATTGAAGCTTGAAACAATTCGCACTTAAACCCATGTTATTTTATAAATATTGCATCATTGTGATAACTGAAAAGAAGTGACATAGTTCGATGCAAGGCATAACATAAAGGTAACAGATGGAGATTCTTTTAATTATGCGAATAATTTTATCAAGTTGATGTAATCGAAACTGGATTTGAGCGATAACGTAAACTGAAAATATTGTGTGTAACTAGAACGAGAAAGTTATAAGTGGATCGAAAGAGAGTTTATGATAATTAAAATTAGATATTACTTAAACTGAAAATGTTAAATTAACCTGGTCGCTAGTTGTTTTAACATTTTTGTGTGATCACCTTTAAACTACTAAACTAAATAACATGACAGCTAGTGATTATTATTTAAATTAAGTAGAATGAGATTGGAATGTGCAACCCGATTGATTGTAAGCTGAATATCAGTCAGTCAACAGCAACATAGAACTTCGTACGTACCTAAGTACATCAGTTCAAGTTGCCATACCACATTAGCACAGAGATGTAATTGTCAATTCAAATCCCATAGTAGTAGGAGTAGTTAAGGTATTAGTAGTAATTGGAGAAGTAGAATCTAATGAAATAAACTTTAAAAAAACAGATAAAGTAATGAGAAACTCTGAGGGTCAGGATTTGAGAGATCATGAAGAATGAATGCACCTGTACCATTGCAAACGATTTTGAACCATGTCACTCAGGGTCTCTAACCATCGATTACTAACATCTCGCGGACCCCAACCAGGTAGTCGACACCTACTAACATGACTCAATCCATTTTTCAGTGACTTCATGGATTCGTGCCATGTTTTGATTTGACCACCCCTAGGTTTCCTTCAACCTATTCCTATGTAGTGAAGGAGAACACAGGTGAGGACAACCGAACTGTATTTATCGCAAATTACAGAGTTAATCAGTAAAATAGGAAAACCATATCGTAACCGTTAATTTACAAATCTTCAATCCATCATCAATCCATTGTCTGACATTTCACTATTCATGCGTTTCATACAAATTCCATTGTGTTCCCACTCTTCCTTTCTTGATCTTCCCCCATCTTCTGCTGCCAGACATTACATTTTCACTCGCGTCATATACTACTTATAAGTAGCGCGCACCACACCTACATCGCAAAACATAGCTTTTCGAGGCAGTCGGTGTTTAGGCTTACACAACACATGTCCCAACCAACCTCAACTGATGAAGTTTCATTACTTCATCTATTGACCTACCATGCTTACCTAGTGCCCGTTTCCTAACTATAGCATTGCCTACTCGGTTGTCCCATAAGCTGAATAAAACTACTAACACTGCCGACCTGTCTATCTATCTATCTTTTATCATAAACTAAATTCATTACCAACTAGTTTTGTAAGTATTTTATACCTAATGATTATCATTACCTTGTGAATATACCATGTTATAGATATATAATTATACCTTGTAATTTTATAATGATACTTTCTGCTTCAATGAAAATATATATATGATGCTTCACATTATCAACCATTGTGTTGCTTGAAAGCTTCAAATTGATTATATACAATATCCATTGGACTAGAATAATTTAATAATTATACTTTTGTCGAATAAGTTTATTCTAACTGAAAGCTTTGTCTTTCTCTACGTCAAGATTAAAAACTACATAGTTGTCCATAAATCAGAGCACCTTTTGGTCATCGTTTATTTTTTTCTGTTTCTGTAAAACCCATATATTAATGATTACACATTGAAACCTATGCTACGATCAAACAGTCATTGATAACTGTTTTATTCTAGGTTGAAACTTGTCAACAATGTACCCACCTATATAATCTCTATATAAAGGGATTTTTGTCTCACAGCAAGTAAAGTACTTAGAGTTTTTGATGATTCAGAATAAGATTGCAGTCGATTTGACAAACCTTAAATGCCCCCCTATGTAAATGATTGTTTCATTTTAAATAAATGACTGAACTGGAACCTCAGAAAATCTATCTTGAATTGTATTAATTTTTTTGTATTACTGAGAGAATATAGCTGTTGTCTGCATTGTTTGACTTTATTTGGATAACTATAGGAAATTAGCAAGTATTGAACAGTTGTTTAGTACACTAGTATTATATTCTCCAGGTGTGCACAACCATATTGAACCTAGAATCTTCACACATCGAAGCAAGTGCTTGCTTGACATTTATACCTGTGACCCAGCTTTCAATAATTTATATATGTATTTCTATCTTCAATCCGTTCGTAATAGTGTTCAATTATCACCCATTATCATTGATAATGTTTGTCTTATACAGTTTGACTCCAGTGATTATGACTTCTCACTAGAATTGCAGGAATTGTGTCTCGCAATAGGTTATTATTTTATTAGTATGGTAAGTCTCTGAAGATTGTTCACTCAAATGTCATTAGTAGTGATTACTGATGTGCTGCTTAATTTTAACCTTCTGAATTCCTCATAATGTCTCTCTTTCTCCTTCTCAATTTATCTTACTGAATTATACTTTTTGAATCATATCTTCGCTCCCTAATCTTCTCCATTGCTGCTAATAATTCTACTATCGCTATCACTCTTGGATTTGAACTGACAGTTACGTCTCTGTGCTGACGTGGTATGACAACCTGAACTGATGTACTTATGTACGAAGTTCTGAGTTGTATCTGTCTAGTGATTAGTGATTACAATCAAGTCACATGTTGTTCGCTTTGTTAATACTGTTGGGGACGTTACATCCCCAGAACTCACTTGGAAAAGGTACTAATTTTGGGTATTTTTATGTTTTCGCGCATTAGTTGCTTAGTTGACCTTCAGCTTACATTTCCCACTCGGAAAATCCTTGACTGTCATTGGTTGATGTATTATTTTAGTACGCTATTTTTGTGGCTCTCACCGAGGACGTTTCTATCATGTATAAATAAGTTGGATTTGTGTGCTTGTCAACCTCGTATTTCTGAGTGCTTGTAGAATACACTTTCTACGCCTTATCAAGACTTCTTGATCTAGTTAGCATGGCCTGGGACAATCCGATTAGAATAGCCTATCGTGTCATTGTATCGTTGATCTTCGCTCTCGTTTTACCGAGTAAGATGAACTTGTCAGTCAGTCAGATGCAACGTAGAACTTTGTACATAAGTACATCAGTTCATGTTGCCATACCACATCAGCACAGAGATGTAATTGTCAATTCAAATCCAATAGTAGAAGAGGTAGTAAAGGTATTAGAAGTAATCGGAGAGGTTAGGATGAGAAGATATTATTCAAGAAGTATGATTAAATGAGAAAAGTTTAAAAAGTAAAAACTAGAGGTGTTGAAGAATCCAGAAGATTAGGATTTGAGAGAACATAAAGAATAAATGCACCGGCGCCATTGCGAACGATTTTGAGCCATGTCATTCAAGGTCTCTAACCATCGATTATTATCATCTCGCGGACCCCAACCAGGTAGTCGACAATTACAGACATGGCTAAGTCCACTAGTCAATGAGTTCATGGATTTATGCCATGTTTTGGTTTGGCCGCCCCTAACTTTCTTCCAACCTACTCCTACACCACAAAACAAGGCTCGTCGAGGCAGTCGGTGGTTCGGCATACGCAAGACATGTCCCAACCACCTCAACTGATGAAGTTTCACCACTTCATCGATTGCTCTCCCATCCTTACCTAATACTCGTCTCCTAACGACAGCATTGCTCACTCGGTTGTCCCACGGTATTCGAGCAATGCTTCGAAGACACCTATGATCGAATACTAGTAACCTACAAATATCTTCTACTCTCACTAGCCATGTTTCACAGCCATATAGGAGAACGGAGCGAACTACTGCACAGTACACTCGTCCTTTGATTAGAGAACGGATATCACGCCTACGCCATAAGTGACGCAGGTTGGCAAAAGCCAATCGAGCCTTCTGTATCCGAGCTGAGATTTCGTCAGTCACCAGGCCATCGGCACTGAACTTGTAATACCATTGAAGCGTATCAATTGACTAGCATAACAAATACTTACTTTTCTTTTCTGTGTTTACACACTTGTCTCTCTCAATTGCTTATCATCTTCAACTTTGAATTTTTCTTCTTACTTTAATTAGTAGTAAATATTTTACTTACTGTTTATTTGTTTGTTTGTCTTTTTTCATTTCAAATGATATCTGACGCTGTTGTCGTCGTCATCATCCAGTTATTATTTACGTCTTCGTGAAATTACTCGTCAAGCTGCAATTGATTTATTCATTGGAAATGAACAAAGTCCTGAACTCATCATGCTTTGTAATGGTTCCGGTTTAGAATCATCCTCATTACAAGTAAGAATGATCTGATTGTTGTTATTGTTGGGTTGTTGTATTATTTCTTTTATTGTTTGATCGTTTTTATTTTTTTTTCTCTTGATTTGCTTTATTTGTTTTGTTTACATTTGGCTAGATAAGATGAGTTATGAATTATTTTTTTCTTTTTAAAACAAAAAGAATAGCTGTTTTTATGTCTTCTCCAGTGTGTGTGTGCGCGCGTATGTTTGTACGTGACCATGTACGTAGTTTTGCTTGCTTCCTTTTGGAAAAAGACGATTATGCCTAACCTTGTGTTTGTTCCTTACTACGCTTTGAAAATACAATGTCCCATTGCAGTGATTAAAAAAACAACAATAATAATAATTTTTATGACTTGTTTATTTAAATTAGTGATTGACCAGTGATTGACTACTTACTTGTCCTCTCTTTTTGTTAAATCATATAACATTGAATCGTTAATATGGATTGATAGGACTAGATTAATGATGACTCAGTAAATAGTTAATATTTTAATTATTATATGAAGATCTTTATTTTCGCTGTTCAATTGTGACGAGTTGGAGTTGAAGAGAGCAAGAGGGAGAGAGAAAGAGGGAAATTGAATACTTATACGATACACAAGGGAAATAATAAAAGATTGATAAGTGATATAAATTGTAGTCAGCCTTCAAAACAACATGACAGCTACTTTAAACAAATATATATATATATATATATATATATGATACGACTGACATTTGATGAACAATTATTGCATATAACTGAAATTTTCGAAATAAAAAGAAACTAGATATTAAGTAGAACTATATTACAGAACACATGATGCCGGATGAAGTTTACACTAAATGAATACAAGAAATATAATTCTGAATAGATGTTAAGTGGAAATCAAACTGCTATTAAATCAAGAGAGAAAAAATCTATAGTGAGCCAAAACATGGTCTCGTATTTCTATCACATCTTAACCGTTCCCCTTTTTTTAGCCGGATATATATATATGTATATATAAGTAGGGTATTCTATAAGAGTTCTGACTTTCTCTGCCTGATTTGCTTGATTCGGTTTCAAATTATCTAATATAAAAGGCAATTATTGTGATTAAATGTTTACTTGAAAAATTAAATAACACTGAAGTGTCTTTCTCGAAAAAACGCTATGCGATCCCCTAGTTGAACAAGACTTACATTGTTTCAGCGATTTTGAAGTCTTCTTCATTGAAATATCATTAATGATAATACAACTTTCTCATCCACTGTATAATGTTTGTTATAACTGGATACTTTACTTACTTACTGTCACGCCCGTTGAAGCATAGGCCGCCTGCCAGTTTTCTCTGACCTACTCTATCCTGAGCTTCTCTTTCCAATTCTCTCCAATTCTTGTTCATTCTTGCCATATCTTTCTCTATTTTTTGGCATAATGTGTTTGTCATTAACTGGATAGTTTTCATTATATCATCCATCTCTTCATTCTGACTGCGAATACACACAACGATGTTGGAGTATTAGACAGCTTTTGTATGTGTTTAACCTACGGTTTACTTAGCGTTTTTTGTAAATTTTTTAATTCCATTACTTGAATTTCGTGTCTCGCTTTGTTTTTTAGTTGTAATGTAAATTGAATCCTGAACTTTTTGTTTCAAAAAAATAACAATAATAATCTTAGATAATTTCAAATATATTTTTCTCAATTAATAAATTAATCAATTCCTATTTGAATATTAAAAGCCTTAATAATATTGTAAATACACCTTAGTATCATTAGGCAAATAAATCTTTAATAATTACATATTTTTTATGACAAATTCATTGGCTTCTTTCATCTCTTGATCTTTATTTTTTCAAGTCATTATAAATTAGAAAATCAGAAAATTTAAAAGTGCCGTTGTTTCATTTCATCTGGGGTTGAATATTTAACATTAACCTTGATAACCTTAATTTCATTTGTTTTTCTCTTATTCTTACATAACCCCTGTTAACTCTTAACATTTGAGTAGCATATTCCTACTAATATCTTCTTTGCTAAATGTTTATATCTTATTATTACACCTATTAACAAACACAGTGTACTATTGTAGTGAACGAGAACACAGGTGCGGCAACCGCATTGTATTTAACGAAAATTACAGAGTTACTCAATAAAATCGGAAAACCATATCGTAAATCGTTCATTTGCAAAATATCAGTCCATCATATCGAACTGGACTGTTCCTGTTGCAAAACATCAATCCATTGTCTGACATTTCACTATTCATGCGTTACATACAAATTCCATTGTTTTCTAACTCTTCCTTTCTTGATCTTTCCCCATCTTCTGCTGCCAGACATGACGTTGACACTCACGTTATATACTACTTATAAGTAGCTCACACCACACTATGTTGTTGAATATTCTGTCAATTTATCAGAATATAGAACTTTGGTAAATTGAATGAAGTGACCTTGATAATAATAGTCAATGCATATGAAATAGCAATGATTATGTTAACCATTTTACCGTTGTTACATTATTCAAACATATCATGTTCCATGTTGAAAATGTTATTGACATCAGTAATGATCAATAATGATTAGGATGTAATAGTCTTTTTAGTTTTTTAGACATAAATGGAGACTCATTTGAAATAGTGGTTTTCTTGACAATTCAATTATTATCCATTGTATACTATAGAGGCACATTTGATTCGATAAACATTAATCTATATTTAGGTTACTTTTAAAAAGCCTCATAAATTATATTAAGCTTATTATAGATAAGTAGGAAAATTTATTCTGAATATGTGAATCTGTCAGATGATGATAGTGATAGTGATGAAATATGAAAATAGAAAGTTATCTATTTGTTTGATTGTTCTGTTTTCTTATAATTAAAAAAACCCACATTTTTATTTCAGTTTCATTCTTCACTGTTTTAGAAGTCAAACTGGACTTTTTTTCCTACGTTTTTAATCAAATCTATTATTTTTATAAAGATATAACTAATTGATCTCGCATTGCGTCAACCAATGCTATGTTTAATTATGGGGTTGTGGAAATTGTTGAGTTACTTATTGAAATCGTGAATCGATCAATGTTAGACCACTACTAGAGAACCTGGAGTCACTGAAAGACGGTCGTTTCGTCCTGGTATGGAACTCATCAGTCGCAGTGCGCATCCACGACTCCTGCACCTCGCAGGATTTGAACTCAGTACCTCCGGTATTTTGCATGAATGCCTAACCATCGGACCACTGGGTCGGCATCCAACGGGTGTAGGCAGTAACTACCAAAGATAAATGGATGAGGTCGCGCAAAATCCCTAGATCAATCAGAGTTAGACATTAACATCGTTAGATGCCGGCCCAGTGGTCCAATGGTTAGGCGTTCGAGCACAATACCGAAGCTCCCGGGTTCGAATCCTGTGAGGTGCAGGAGTCGTGGATGTGCACTGCCACTGATGAGTTCCATACCAGGACGAAACGGCCGTCTTTCAGTGCTTCCAGGTTTCTAATGCTGGTCTAACAATGATTGATTTGATGATTTCAAATTAAGCTATAATTAATGTTGAATATATGTTTGTCTAAAAAGATAAATTAATACATACTTTCCAACAAAACAAATCATTCCATAATCTTTCCATTGTTAAATTCATTAACTCTAAACAAAATATAATTATTCTTTGAAATGATTTTCATAATCTCAGACAACAAAATGGCAATCAACGCATAATTGAAATAATAGTTAATTTATAGTTTATTTAAAATTATCAATTTTTAATTAAGTTAATGAATTATTATTAAATTATTCAGATGATTTTATTCACTCTGTAAATATTTTCTAATGAAGAGAATTGATTGAATACAGTGTGGTGTGATTGTTGATTTGTAATTATGAATTATCTAACCTAATAGTGTTCATTCATCATAAATAACACCTTGATAGATTAATGAGAAGAACGAAAAATATAATGTATTTGCGCTATATATTTTTAGCAATCTGATCATACATATACATACAATTGTCAAGGTATTTTATATGAAAACTGATCAAACGTCAAATAATTACAAGTTCAAATAAGGTGATAATTGTAATATAAAGGAAAGAGAAAATTAATATAGTATGAAAGGAATACAAGGTTGTACAATCACCCTAGATCACAAAACGGCTTAAAGATTCCCAGAGTAAATTCACGGTTACCTTTTAAAAAACTGTTTATGTACACATAAGGAGGATATTAATTTACAAATACCCAAGGCTTACATAAACTTGAGAATTCGTCCTTCAACGTTTCTATACAATGTTTCAAAGGCTGTCTAGATGTTGATCTTATGCCTCACTTCAATCGATAAACATGGTTGTCCATTTTCCAAGCTTATCTCTGTCATTTGACATTAATAAATTTTGATGCCATCTAGGAACATGTTTCATTACCTTTGACTGTATTATTCGATTACTCCTCTGTATATATGCGTGTCCACACAAACGCGTAAACTGATGAGTGCAATTGGATGTGACGTAATCGGTCGTGCAATGCCTAGGCCTATATGGAATCATGAGCTTAGTCCTTTCAATTTGAAGACGATGAGAAATTCTTAACTGAAACATTGATTTCAAACAGTTATTCACTAAAATTTATAAATGTGAAACTCAGTTAATACAAAAATCTCTCGATTTTCAGGCACAGACTAAAAGCAGCCATCAAGAAAACATACCTCGCCGCTAAACTGGTTATAATTGAAACGATTAAGCTCATAGACATAGACATTTTACGACCGATTATGTCACGTCCCACTGCATTCATCAGTGTACATATTTGTGTGGACACACACGTAGAGAGGAGTAATCGGATAATACAATCAAGGGTTATGGAATATGTACCGTTCTTCTCATTGTTCTATCAAAGTTTTATAAAAATGACCAACTACTATCGATGACATTATTACTTCTTATTATAGAAACATATAATTCATTTGTTTGAATCTTCTCATTGATGTTTAAGATTGCAATGAATCCATCTCACTTAACATTTTTGTGGACGTTAGATCTCCAGAC